TCATCTGTATCAGATACTACATTATTTTCTTCAGCGGCAAAAGCAATATTTTTTTGTTTTTTTGTATGATCAGTTAAAATCTCCATTTCATATGTTTTAAGATTTCCCATTAGCTGAGTAACAGATTTTTTTTCCCAACCATCATGCTCTTGGATGGCTGTGACTTTCATTCGGAACTTGGGCGGTAAAGATCTCAGTATCTTTTTAATAAGCTTTTCCTGCGAGAATGGTTCACCAAGGACCATTGCGCGATTTGCCAGTTCCTGTATACGTGTATGAAAGTCGATGACTGTTTCATCCTCATTCATGCGCAATTCTTCGAATTCTGACTGGACCAGTTGCAGCTTAGACTGTTTTACCGAGGTAGTTCCTTCGTACGTAGACTCAAGAGCCTCCCAAGCACCTTTAGCTGAAGGAATACCTGCAACAATAGAGAACTGGCTTTCATGCATAAGAGAATAAATTGTGTCTAAAGCCTTATCATTGTTTCCTGCATTGGTTATTTCTGTTTGAGTCCATTCAGTTTCCGGCTTAGTGACTTCTGTTCCATCAGCGCTGGAACTGGCTTTAGTGGGATGTGTCCATCCTGACACCACAGACCGCCATACGGCCTCACCCTGTGCTTTTAGATGAGTACGGGTGCGAGCCTTCCAATATGCGTAGTTGTCGCCGGTCAACTGGGGAAGGGTTTTAGTTCGATCCATTCTGTAACACTTAACACCCCGTGAGGTCAAGCAAATAAACAGTAAACAGATAAACAGAAATAGCCGCTGAAGAAATGATTTCAAGATGCACGGATTCGCCAGATCGATAGACTAATAGATTAAGTCTACAGGCTCTGATACCAATTGAAATTGTTCTGTGATACTTGAATTGTAACAGATATGTGTTTTATGTATTAATTAAGATCTACACCAGATTTGGTGAATTAATTTACCGAGTTTATGCAAGTGTAAATCAAATTCGCAGAAAGCATAAATAAATAAAACACAAGGAAATTGTTACGCAGTTCGGAGATCCTTCTCCTACGTCTGCGGGGCAACCCACGTCTGCCCAATCCACTATAGATGTTCACCAAAGGAGTATTACAAGAGGTAACTGTAGACGGCCTCCAGCCTTTACCACTACCACTCTTTCAACACCTATCCAGGATTGACAACGAACGCCCTAACAACCTTCACAAAGCTTCAGTAGTACCACGTACTGTCCAGGCAGTACAATACAAATATTCTTGCGAATTAAAACATAAATAACAATAATATAGAAAATAGCTTGGTAAATTTCAGCACAGCCTTCGTAATTGTGACTCTCAAAAATTGGCAAATGTTGTCTTCGAACATAGTGTATTTATAGCCCTCTTCATAAGCTTTTTGTCTTGATCCATCAAAGTAGCCAATGCCTTAGCAATCACACTGTTCGAATGCTTCTCCTCCATTCATTTAGAAAGCTTATTTGTGGACTCTAAAAACACAATGATTGATGTCCACTAATTGAGATGATTTCCACTAAATGATCTCACGTGGTCCACAAATCATTATCAACACTAATTTAATTTAATCTAGTCCTAGTTAGACGTACAAATAAAATTGCCAAACTTTGTGTAAAAATATTTTACACTTACAATAGCTCTACTTGAGACCTATTTCCAACTTGTGGAATCCATTAGCACAGCGTACCACTATTGTTATTACACATCTGTTTGTACTATTGCAGCACTCTCACATAGAGAATGGGGACAAATGAAAGAGTGACCTCATGATTTTTTACTTCTGCTAATAAAGGTTGCTGTCAAGAGGATAGGAGTCATGGGGTACGGTTCATATTGATGTCTTCATTTGTGGTTGGAGCATTTTGGTTGTGGGGTTTTGGAGGCTGCTTTTGCTCCAGTATCTCACATGTTACTTCTCTTTGATTTGAGGTTACAGGCAGAGTTTGCATTCTTTTTATGTTTTAGTATCTCTTTGGAAATTGAAAAATATTTTTTTGAAAAGTATAGTAGTAATATTATATAAGATTTTTTACTATAAGTTATGCAATCACTTTCATCATAATATGAAAAATCATAGTTATGTTGAAATAATTTATTTTTAAAATAAAAATATAACTTTTCATAAAATTTATAGTTGCAGAATTCATATTATATTAAAAGAATTAATACTACCTGAGGTCCTCCGATTATAGTGATTTTGCCACGTTTAGTCATAAACTTTCAAATTAACTATCTGTGGTCCTTCGACTTTCAAATTTAACCATTCATGGTCTAAGTTAACCACTCATGGTCCTTCAACTATTAAATTTTAACCAACTATGGTCCTTTCAAGAGGACCACGACTGGTTAAATTTCGAAACTTGAAGAACCATGGGTGGTTAACTTGGACCACGGATGGTTAAATTTGAAAGTCGAAGAATCACATATGGTCAATTTGAAAGTTTAGGACTAAACGTGACAAAATCATTATACTGGGAGGATCTCAGATGGTATTAACTCTATATTAAAAGTTAAGAGTTGATAATTTGAGTGATTGTTATGGTATTGGTGATTTTTTAATTGACCATTAATTGACTATACCCACCATAAAATTGAGTTGGAGTACTAGTAATTAAAGCGATGAAAAAATAAATACGACTAATATTAATTGGACATTAGGCTCATAGAAGGGGGGTCCAAGCCCAAAAATAAATCAAGACTTGACAACAAGTCAAAGCTAATTTGAGGAAGGGAAAATGACATTTTTTCCCTCTGAATTATATACTTATAGTACTTTTTTTCCCTGAATTATTTAAGTGGCTCTTTTTCTCCCTGAAATGTTAAATGGACATATTTACCCTTAAAATAAATATTTAAAATAAATATTTCATTTATTTTTTTTCTCCAACAAATTATTACTATAATTTGGTTCAAACCAAACAGATACTATAGCAACCAAACCAAAATATTCCAATTACAATTTATAATCAAAACGCGATATTTAGAGTTTATTAAAATCACGAACCGGAATGGCCGGTTCATGTTCCGAACTGAAAAAATAAAATACATTTATTGTTGAATTTAGACTATTTTAAAATAAAAAATAAAATTTTAAAATAAAGACGGTTTAAAATCGTGAACCGGATCCGGAACCACCGGTTCACGGTTCATGATCTATTTTTTTATTCTTAAATTTAATAAATTGAAATCCAAATATTGGGTTCTAGATCTTAATCATAACCGAAAACTTTTAATTCGATTGCTATAGTGTCTGGTTCAATTCGAACCGAACCATGGTAATCGCTACATATACGCAATAATTTGTTGGAGAAGTAAAATTAATAAAATGTTTACTTTAAGGGTAGAAATGTCAATTTAATATATTAGGGGGAAAATCACCACTTTTAAAATAATTGAGGGGGCTAATGTGCTTACATAAATAATTGAGAGGAAAAAAGTGCTATAAATATATAATTTAGGGGGAAAAAGTGTCATTTTCCCTTTGAGGAAACAAACCGGTTGAAACTAAAAAAATAACAAAAGAAAAATATGGAGAAACAAAAATACTCTTACTAAAAATATGAAAAGTCATGAGAAGGACTAAAAGTGTCTAAAATATAATAGTCTGGGATGTTAAATGACAAAAACGATAGTCTGAAACTAAATTTGGAATTGCCACCAAAGACAAAGAACCTTTGGTGGAATTAACTCTATAAATATCTCTCATTTAGGAGAGAAACAGACACGTGCTTTGCGCGAAACGCCACGCCCAACGATAAACTAATTTGTTCTAATTTTTAAATGATATAATATATATTAATTTTAATCATCAACATGATACAATTATAATTCCAAGCATGATAATAATGACAAATTAACCATTAATAGTACATTATTAATTAAAAAAAATGTCATATACATTACCTTAGACAACGATCAATTATTTAGGTCTAAAAGAAAACGTACAATATAATTTCATCTAAAGCTTGCGGGGATGGAAGAAGAAGAACTCCTCATTTCCCCAAACCTTCTCTTCAAATAGCATCCCATGGAGCAAACTTCTCTTAGTCTTGGGGGATGTTTGGTTCATGGAAAATGTTTTCCAAAGGAAAATATTTTCCTTAAGCAGAGGAAAATGTTGTTTTCTGATGTTTGGTTCATGGAATTCATTTTCCATTGGAAAATGAATTCCTCAAATTTGAGGAAAACAAAATCCTTGGTTGGACCAAGGATTTTGTTTTCCATGAAAGATGGAAAGAAGAAGTGATATGGATTGCCTATTTTACCTTTATTTTCTTTTTTAATTATATTACTCTTATTACTTTATAGGGGCATATAGGTCTTTATACTCGTTATTCCTTACAATTTCAAATCTAACCAAACAATAGAATTAATATTCCTAGTAATTGTTTTTCCATGAAATTTCAATTCCACTTCCCTTAAAAAATTTTCGCTAACCAAACGAGCCCTAATGTTGCATCATCCAACTTTAAATTTGGATCTTTTAACTTGGAGAAGACATATTTTTCCATTATCTTGTCACTTCATCATCAACAATTTAATTATTAACAATTAATATTTAAAAGAAATTCAACCACTTTACTAATAAAAATATATAGAATTAATTACCATTTTGATCCCTCGATTGTTTCTCAAATGTCAATGTAGTTCATAGTTTTCAATTTCAACCAATTTGATCATTGAATATAATTGTTTAAAATTTCGTTAATTAAACCCTTTCAGTGACCAAAATGGTGATTTTCACATTTTCAAAATGGTCCCTGAAAGGGTTTAATTGAAAACGATGTCAATTTTGAGCAAAATAAAAGTAAAAAAAAAAATCCTAAATCTTTCAAATTGGTTGCAAACCCAAAAACCGTATAAAAAAAAATCAAAAAATCATCTACTTTAATATTGATACTTTGTGAGTTGTGATTTTGTGAATTTGTGTAATGGGCGCCTAGGAGCCCGAAAAATGCCTAACAATTTTTGCAACCATATCTTTGACATTGAAGACTACCAAAAAGACATGAAAAGAGAAAGAAGAACAACTCAAAATTTAACCCAACAACGTGTCTCAACTCCTTTGTTATACAATGAAAAAAACATTTCAACAAGAAATCAAAATGAGAATGTCCTTACCATCCATGAACCATCCTCCATCAGAGCAAATATAAGCTTTGGTAACAATAAGATTAAGATCATTGAGGATTTATACCACCTCCAGAAGTATACCATGTTTGTTAGCACCATCCACCTACATAAATGATCATGGGTACCCATAGAATCATTTTTTTTTTTGGGAAAAGGGTCAAATAGGCCTTCAAACTTTAACTTAAAAGTCAATTAGGCTCCTAAACTCTTTAAAGGTGCAATTACACCCATCAACAGTTCATTTAGGTGCAATGAAGCCCAAAAACAAGTTAATGACCTGCTATCATAAGTCATTAGAGTTCAGGCCACCTTTCGGCGAAATTTCCGGCAAAAAACAAAAAGTAACTGGCGAAATTTCCGGCAAAAAAGTGTGGCCTGAACCCTAAAGACAATCGCCGGTCACTTTTTTTTGCCGGAAATTTCGACAATCGGTCGCCGATCACATTTTTTGCCGGAAATTTCGCCAGAATGTGGCCTGAACCCTAAAGACCTGTGATAGCAGGTCATTAACTTGTTTTTGGGCTTCATTGTACCTAAATGAATTGTTGATGGGTGTAATTGCACATTTAAAAAGTTTAGAGGTCTAATTGACTTTTAAGCTAAAGTTTGAGGGCCTATTTGACCCTTTTCCCTTTTTTTTTTTTTTTTTTTTTTTTTTCTAGAAATCCCACAATAATAACTAATCAGACAAACTAGCAAAAAACCTAGAGAAGACAAACTAACTGCATCACAGTGGTATTTTTGCAAACTTCATTATCAATTACAATTCTGACAAAAAGACACAATAATGGAGTAAATCTCATGTGGAATAAAAACATTCTTAAATCTCATGCTCCCGGATTTGCAGTCGCATCAGGGAGCTAGTTGAGGACATCAGATTTGACCGTTGAAGGAGAAGATGAAGTGGTTCAACAAAAAGGGAAGAGGAAGAAAACAAAAATAATGACAAACTTGTTATTTCTTTAAACATTAAGAGCAATTAAAAAGAAAAAATAAATCAAAAATTAGATCAAAAAATTTCAGCCTCACGATTTGAAAATAATTACTAGATAGAGGTGTCATTTTTCAAGGGCAATTGGCAACTCCTAATTATAAGTATTGGGGAAATAAGGAGCCAACTTTAATTCTCTATGATCAGTGAGGGAGGGTTGGTTCTTTATCTAGGATATGGAGAGAGCTATAGATTTTCAGAGGTAGTGTACATACAATTCATCCCCAACAGAACATCCTCATTTTGTCCCTAAACTTACTCAGTATCATATCTTTAGTACTCTAGATTGACTAAATTGGTCAACATATATGAAATTAAATACACTCAAATTATAGAAAATTATACCATCAAGCTCCTGAATTTCAAAATATTCTAATTCAACCTTTTTGTTTTTGTTTTTGTTTTTTTTTTTTTTTGTTTTTTTTTTTCCAACTACTCACGAAAACATCCACTCTTTGATATCGGAATATAATATAGCGGCCCATACCGGACGACAGCAATTATACTGTAGACTGTTGTCCACAAAGTTTTGTGGACCATGGTCTAAAATGATAAATACTATAGTGTATTTGAACTGATCTTGCCTCACGTATTATTTTTATTATATTATCAAATGAAACTACAATTTGAATTGAAATGAAAATGTAGTTATATTGAAATGAAATTGTATCTGTGTTAAAATAAAACTGCAGTGTATACAAAATGAAACTGAATAACAATTTCACATATTTGAGTGTATATTGTCCAGCGAAACTGTAATTATATCAAAATGATACTGTACTTATGTTGAAATTAAATTGCAGTGTATATTTGATGCCTAGACCATAATGTATTGTGGACTGCGGTCCATGGTATAATTTGCTGGTTTAGCTCAATAGTAATAGTGCAGTATTTGGGAAAAGATATTAATGTTTGAACTTTGACATCAATAGTTTTCAAAATTGACAGATCCCTTGTTCACACCAATATTTGACTCTATCCAGGGCCCCATGCTTGGAAGGGGCCCCTACTCTATACTATTTCTCTAATATATACTCTTAGAAATGTCATATAATTATTTAGTATACATCCATGGGAATGGTTTTTGTGTTGGTTGAGTTAGTAAGGCTTAGCATTTTAATTAATCCACATGGTCAAGAGATCGGATCCCCATGTGTAATTTTACATAAAAAAAATTTCCCTTCTACCATTTAGTATATGAATTTAAGAATTTTATTACATTAAGATTTGAGTTGGTTGAGTTGGTAAGACTTGTAGTTTTTATGCTTATGGTCAAGGGATCAAATCCCCTTATATATCATTTTACATATTCCTACAATTTATTTATTTCTATTTCTAATTTGTATTTTTCTAAATTTAATTTATAACTTTGTGATTTTGTTACCTTTCTATAATTATAGTGAGATTTATAATATAGATTGATTTGTAATACATATTAAATTTTGAATTTATTTCTATTCTAGTAATTTACTATTTATATTTAGCATATTTGTTGTTTTGTGAACTTTATAATGAGTTATGTATATGTAATATATTTTGTGATTTAGTTATGAAAAATATTTTAAAAGATAATTTAATTTTTGTATGAATTATCTAATCAATGTAGGTTAGAAGTTTTATTGTGTGTCATCGTATTCAAATTAATGTAGAAAAACTTGAAAGTGATCTAACTAAAAAAGAGTATTTATAAATATGATATCAATATATAAGATGTGTGATTTATTACATATTTTTTATTCGAACTATTTTATCCAATTAATTATGTTTCATATTTTATTATGAATATCTTTTATCCCGTTTGAGTGTTTTGATTTATTGTTCTCAATAATTAAGATTTTATGCTATGATCTTATTTGTAAGTTTTTTTTTATATATAAATTTTTATTAATATTACTTTATTATTTATTATAATAATAATGTGATTGTCTATAAGCTCATTTGGTTTTAAATTATTTATTCATTTTTATAAACTATATTATTTATTTATGAAAATACTGATGCGGTAATTGATTATTGTGGATTTAGGAATGTATCTATAATTGTTTTCATGTGTATGTAAAATTGTTAAAAACTTGTGAATCTTATTTAAGTTATTTTACATTAGTATTGCTTCCTTATTTAATTTAAATTTTAATTATAAAAGTATATATTAATTTCGTATAGGGCCCATTTTTGTTGTTATGCCCCGGGCCTAAGAATGATAAGACCGGGCCTGACTCTATCTACTAAATATTGAGTTCGTGATTTTCATCATTATAAATTCTTGGTGTTGAAGATCCAACTTTTGGAGAAGGAATAAAATATAACGTACAAAAAAACGAACTAAATGTTTAATTTAATGTTGACTTGAAAAATATACAGAGAGTGAAGAATGCACCTGGTGGTGATCGATTTTGATGGCGGTGTTATTCGCGAGAGGACGATGAGGTTTCCGATCTCGAGTCTGTACACGCCGGGAGCGACGCGAATCACAGAGCGACAAGTGTAGCGGATCGGAGCGGCACGAGAATCAATGGTTTCCGGCCTGCACCGTCCGGCGGAACCCTCGCTGTTCAACGATCCATCTCTGTGCCTAATGTGCGGCGCCGGCAGAGACGAAAACGGAGAGAATCTACGGAAGCGTGTAAACTGTAAAGGGAATGAGAATGAGAAGCTGCTCCCCATGGAATTCAACAGCTTTGGAGTTCTCCATAATTCAGTAAACGGTCTCCGGGACCCACCCAGAAAAATTGAAACTCAATAGAGTTAATTCCAGCAATGATCCTCTGGCTATTGTAATTTTTCAAAATTAATCCCCGACTTTTAATTTGAACGAAAAAGGCATTTGACTTTCGAATTTGTTCCAGCAATAGTCCTTCCGTTATCCATCCATTTCTTCACCGTTACACTATTGGAAATTATGGTATTTCCGACCACCTGAAAGTGATCTTAAATCAAATCGAATGTCTGACCACTTTTGGTATCCGGAAAAACCTTTGTTGCTATTTCCGACCACTTTTTGGTATCAACTTGATTTAAGATCACTTTCAGGTGGTCGGAAATTACATAATTTCCAGTAGTGTTAGTTTAGGGGCCAAAATAGTCTTTTCATCTGCTTGCTCTCTTCTCCTTCATTTTCGATTGACGCAGAGAAGCAATAGGAAGAACTAAACACAATTGAAGTCCTCTCCAGATCTGGGAAGAAGAAATCAAGAGTATTGGAGTGCTAATGGCGATTCCGATGAACCCGTACTTGGAAGAGGAACTCGACAAGCGGTTCAAGCTCTTCCGCTTCTAGAACTTCCCGCAAAAGAAGGAATTCCTGAGGGAGAACGCCAACGCGATCCACGCCTCCGTCGGGGCTGACGCGGAGCTGATTGATGCGCTCCCCAAGCTGGAGATAGTTTCCAGTTTCAGCGTCAGCTTGGATAAGATCGACTTGGCCAAGTGCAGGGAGAAGGGAATTCGGTTTACCAATACCCCCGACGTGTTGACGGAGGACATCGCCTACTTGGCAATCGGGTTGATGCTGGTTGTGCTCCGAAGGATTTGCGAGTGTGATCGATTTGTGAGGACAGGGTTGTGGAAGACGGGTGACTTCAAGTTAACTAGCAAGGTTTAATCGCTTCTTTTTATATCATTTTCTATAGACAAAGTACAAAGATTGAATTTTTAGCTACAGAGAACAAAATTGTGCAGGTTAAAATAGTTTAATTTTGGTCCTCTCTGCTTTGTTTTCCCCCTATATGCCTTCTAAGTGCTTGGTGAAATACTCTGAAATAATCTACATTCAGGACTAGAATTTTACGAAAGAATGTTAGAGGTAATTATGTTCCCCATATGCCTTCTTAGTACTTGGTGAAATACTCTGAAATAACATTCATTCAAGACTATAAATCTACAGAAAGAATGCTAGAGGCGATTATGTTCTCAGCTTGAATATTGTTGAATGAAAGGGATTTGGCAGTCTTATTGAGTACTCATCAAAAACTAAATACAAATGGCATCGTTGTTGAGTTCTGTTTGTTGTTGATAAATGTTTCTTGGTCTGTGGAACATCATGGATGAGTAACTAGTTATCTGGTTGGTCAACTCAAACCTGTTTCCCTTTATTCGTAACTATAAATATTCTCTCTAACTTTGGTGACATGTTTGCGTTAGTTCAACTAGTTTTTGCCCCGTGCGATGCACGGCATAAAATTTAAGTAACTTTAATATTGATAATATTTTAAAAACAATAAAATAAAATATTAATCATGAAATTAAAACTTATTTTGAAATATATTTTTCTTTAACAATATTAAATTGGTTGTTATATCGAACATCACATATTGTTAGCATATATTATAAAGAATTGTGTTATAACATATCACATGAGATTTAAAAAGTGTACATTAAAATAATTATATATATATATATATATATATATATACACACACACACACACACACACACACACACACACACACACACACACACACACACACACACACACACACATTTTTATAAAAAAAAAAAATTTAAAAATTAGGAAATCAAACAATATACAATAAAAAAATTATGAAATTAAATTTTCTTATATATAAAAACATTTATTAATATGATTTGCAATTAAAGCCTATAGTACATATACTTGACAATATATAAATAAAAAATACAGTATCATCATCATACATTGAAACTAACTACGAAAATCTTTTCTTAAACATTGCTTAATAATAATAATTATATACGTACAACATATATAAATCTAAACTAAATATGAAATATTTCATGACATGAAAGAAAAAATAAAACCTGCAAGCCTAAGCCCAATAAACATTTAATTATCTATCCATATAACCCAGTTACG